CAGGTTGCTCTCTTTCTTCAAGCCATGCATAGCCTTCCCTCTCTTCTTCCGTTACCGAAACCCCATCGACTGCGAACAAAATCTGGATGTTTACTTCTGCTGCATATGTTGTAAGGTAGAACAACACTAGAGTTACGAGGGTACCTGAAAATTTGGTGAAAGGAAAGCTGAGGTAGTACGAGCAATGCCGACCATCGCGATCATTGTAAGGAGGGCCGAGCACATCTAACACTGCACATGCGGTCACGGCCGTGAAGCAGTGTATGTTTCCTCCGTCTGCAGGGTAAAGAATTGATGCGTCGCATGGTGCCGTGCAGTTGGCGTCTACCTTAACTTTCGCCAACCGAACACCTGGAGATATTGAACGACATGAATGCTTATAGATATGATATCTTACTTGCTAAAAACCCATCTCTCTGTTTAACTAAAGATTAGGTGATTTTCTGTTATATGATCCATAAAGTTTTTTAACTTTTAAGTACCTTAAAGATATAACAAAGGGCACAATATTTGCGATTCTTTCTAATAACTATATGAGTATTCCAACCATCCACCTAGACCAATCTTACATGTATCTCGACTAATTTTACCAAACAAACACGACAAGATTCATATAATCTGTCACTTGTCCTATGGTATGACCCGTAGCAAACCCATTTGAAAATCTTACTATGAGAAAGATCCCATCAGTTTAGTTTTGTAAACCCATTTGAAAATCTTACCATGAGAAAGATCCCATCAGTTTAGTTTTGTAAAAGACAAAATGTCATGTCAAGAGTATAGTACCTACTCCTATTCACACTAGACTCTAATGATGCCGACATGACTAGCAATGAATAAGAGTAGTACTACTACGTGTAACAAACAAATATCCGGTGATATCGATATTTTATTGATGTCAACATTTAAATCTTTGATTCAAACCTAAAGTCTTAGCTATTGCACATTCTTTCATGATACAACGGGAGATGACTGTTATCCAGCTACCAACTGCACAGAGAACGCAGAACAATATGGTAAAGAAACTCACTGCTTGGAGAAGATGTGCCATTGGACGCGTCTACGGTCGCAGATGCACTTGTCTCGGCACCGACCTCGGCCCAGTCGTACGCCTTGATGTGCATGGTCCCAAAGAGAAGCTTGCTGAAGACTGTCATTCCAGGATGGTTGTGCAGTGGAATGACGCCTGATGGAGGCAAGCAAAATATTCCCATCTGCAATACAAATACAATTCAAAGGTCAAAAAGCCATCACTTAAAGTAACTTTTCCCAGCTAGACTACTCTCTCATGTAAAAACCCAACTGAAAATGCATACAGAGAATTTGCTGTTCTCATAGATGTGCAAATATGTTATAGGAGGAGGACTTCGTTGACCGGCTGTCGTCCGAAAATACGGCATCTCCGGCGACAACCCAACGTCTACTGGCTTCATTTTATCTATATACAAGAAGATTCATTAGTGATACAGAAACCAAAAAAGGCCAGACACAAGTGAAGAAATGAAACAACACACAAATAGTTCCTTCCAAGATTGCACTGTGTCTGTCTCTAGTCTCTGTTTTGTAGACTTTAAGGTTTAAAACAGCAATTGGGTTTCGTTGGTTTTCTCATAAGAACTCCATGTTTTTATCACCCTGTAACCAAGAGCCTCTAATTTTCACAAGAAGGTCCAAATTGGGGATGGGCTAGTTCTAAACTCTGGACTTAACCCAATTTTCAATAATCATTCAATAGAAAACCAAAATCCATTGTCCGAAGCCACTCAGTATGATAATTGTCGCTAAAATATAACTTAAAGCACCAACATCTAGAACAGAAACCACACAACCTCGCACGTGCAGCAGCAGTGCAAGTTGCCGAAAGACAGAGCCAAATTATATATATAATTCTTTAAAGCCACAAATCCAACAGGACATTGAAAAGTACAGAAATGACAAATCAGAATACAAAACCAAAACCAAAAGCAAGAAAAGAAGAGAAAAAATTCAGACAACAAACACAACAGAAAAGCAAACGAGAATCGTACAGGTGATGTACGGAGTCCAAAAAAATGGAGACGAAACGATGCAGTTTCCATCCTCAAGATGAAGGCACATTACGAATCAGAATTGGGGGATTGAATTCAGTTCCGAATTGGGTCGGGGAAAAGAAGAAGGAAGACGTACCCAGAACAGATCGTATCCGTTCGATATCGGGAGAAGGGGGAACGGTTCCAGTGCCAGTGGAGGCGAAGACATGGTTACAGATTTCATAAAGTTGCTGAACCGGCGACGGCTTCTTATGCCGGCGCCGGTTCTTCTTCGACTTGTTATTCGTAGTAGTTTGTTTGGGCAATTCAGAAAACTGGTTGCGTTTGCGATCAGCGGGAGAGCTGTCAATCCCCATTAAAGGGTGGGGGATTGTGATTGTGGAGAAGCCCAACAAAGAGGGTGGCGATCAGTAGAGATTGAGCAGTGAAATGGGCATCTCCGTATGGAGAAGAAAAGGGGGAGAGGGGAAATTGAGGGGTATAAAAGGACAGGACAACAAAAAGGAGAGGTTTTAGAGAGAGAGAGAGAGGAGAGAGAGAGGGTTTGAAGATCAGAAAACCAGGGGCCATTCCAAACAATTCCAGTGGGCTGTTCCAAACAGCGGATTTTTTCTTTTTTCCTTTTTTTTTAATATTTTAATCCACTGACTGCTCTTCATTTTCCCTTTGCCCCCTTATCCCACATTTCACACTATTTTCAAATGGACAGGTTATTAGGTTGGGTAGCATTTTTATTTATTGTTTTTGTTCCCTTTTTTTCTTCTTTAGTAAAAGTAAAATAAAATTAGAATAAATATGACTTCAAGATGAAATAATATTTTAGAAAGAGTCGGAAATGGAAATAAAATACAAAAATCTTATTTTTGTTTTTTATACGATTTCTATACAATTTTGTGAATGTTTTTAAATATAACGAGAAACTATAAATAGTTATAAAATGTTTATATTTCTTAATAAAATTAGAAAAAAAGGCGAAAGTTACATGAGTATAAATGAAAGTTACATGAGTATAAATGTTAGACAAAATTGATAAATTTTTTAAAAAATAATGAATTGTAAATATACTTTAAAGAGGGATCAAGATAGAGATAAAGTCATATAGACTACTTTTCTTTTTAGATTTTACCTTTTATTTTTTGTTCTTATTAATAATACATATATATTATATTTTATATTCCCTTTAATTTTCTCTCTCTATAATAACAATTCATGGGGAGATGAGAGGGTTATTTTCCCTTCAATTAAAAACTTTAAGTTAAGTTATTGTTTAATTGAAATAATAATTCAGTCAAATTTTAGTTTGTTATAATTTAGTCCATATATTTTTAAATTGGTAATAATTTAATCGTTGAATTTTAGTATATAATAATTTAGTCCATGAACGTTAAAGTTTATAACCATTTAGTTTCTATTGTGAACTTTTTTTTTTGTTAAGATTTAATAAAGTTTCAATAGACTGATGAGGGACTAAATGTATTTATAAATTAAAAAGGTTGAATCGTTATATGATAACAAAACAATTAACACTTAATTTTGATGAGATTTTTCATAGTGTGAATTAAATTGCCACAAATTTTAAACCATATAAAGATTAAATTGTTACATATCAAAGTTCAAGAGTTAAATTGTTACTAATTTGAAGGTAAATAGATTTAATCGTTACAAACTGAAACTCAGTGATTAAAATTGTTACTCCAATGAAAGTATAAGGACCAATTATATTTTTTAACCAAAATTTTATGCGGTTCTTGAACTTTTAGAGTTGTGGCTTATAGGTTCTTGAACTTTTAAAATATGTCTAATAGATTCCTAAACTTTCAATTTTGTATTTAGTATGATTAACTTTGAAAGAGTTTAATAGGCTCCTAAACTTTCAAATTTTGTGTATAATACATCAAGGTCCTATTAGACATTTTCAAAATTCAACGACTTATTAAACACCTTGTTATGGTCAAAGATCTATTAGACACAGTATTTAAAACTAAGAAAGTGAACTTGTGATGGTGAGGGTGAGTAAACGACGAGCAAACACTCGAACGTGAGAGCAAGGCGTTTTCTGGTCCCCCGAGCCGGGTGCACGAGGTCACCTCTTCATCAATGGAACGCCAGAAAAAACATTGTGAACTCCCCCCAAGAAAAGAATTCAAATCTTGAACTTTTAAGACTACTACTGATGTCTTAAGATTCTTAACTAGTCGAGCTAGGATCAAGTTGACCAAAAAAATTCTTCTTACCTATTTGATCGTATAAGACTATTTTAATCTTAAACATTACATTTCATTGCATTTTGGGTTTAATTTTAAATAAATAATGAAATAAGGTATTTTCAATTGGTTAAGTATCCCATATTTTTTTTTAAAGATTTGTAACTAGTTATGAACATTATTATGGCTCACCAAATAGTGAAGAACGAAGCTCTAACCTATTAAAAAAAATTAAAGTGCAAGTTAGAAAATCGAACAATCAATGTTTGGAATGGAAATAGGTGTCTTTATCCATTAAGGTAGGATGACTCAATCATCCCTCGAATTTATGCTGAAGAAGTGTGTTATGGCGAATTAAAAAATTAATATTCTAGCGATAATATAGTTACAAAAATTGTTTATTCCATTTTTAAATCACATTTCTAAAATTAAATTATTTATTAAGCTTATCCCACTAATGCATGAAAATAGTACTTCAAATAAATAATTCGAAATCATCATTGTTTTCTTTTTATTACATTTTTTAATTAAAAATAATAATTTGAAACTTGAATTTAAAATTTCATTTCTAAATGTCCACTATTCTTGTACCTTTAGGAACGGGGAAAAAAAGTACAAAGAAAAAAAAAACCTTTTCCTTTTCCTTGTTATTTTGCATATATAATTTTTAAAGCAATTATCCACATATTTCAAATGAAGCAATATATAGAAAAGATATTTTTCCATTTTTGAAATTAGAAATTATTTCACCGTTTTTGTCTCCTACTATTTCTTTGGCAAAAATCAAACTTTGCAAAACAAATATAAAACTATTAAATATTTTAGCCATCAACTTCTTTTAGATATAATCATAATATGTTAAAATTACAAATTCTAATGGATATTCTTTAAGAAATTTCATTTCTTATCAATCATTTTCCTATAATTTTGTATATTACTTTTACGATGACATATTTCATTTTTTTTCATCATCATTATTTATTTTTTCCTAAGAAATTTCATTTTCTTATCAGTCATTTCATTTTATTATATGTTAAGAATAAAATTGAAAGACAATCGAAATATAGTATTTATCTCAAGTTAACTTAAAATTGGAAGAGAACATATTAAAATTTAATCCTAAAATAAGAAATCAAATATTTGAAAAGAACAAGAAAAGCAAGGAAAAAAGAAAAACCAAATGAAGATAGGTTTAAATGACCCATCAATTATTTTAGTTTGGAGATTAGGATCCATTGTCCTTGCCCATGTCTTTTTTCCTTGAAGAGATTAATTTTGTAGGATATTGTTGACACTATAATCCTATATTTGTATGGATGAGAGCAAGAATTTTGAGATAGAGCTCCATGGTTTGGATAGAAAGCTTAAAAACAAAAAAAAACAAACAAACAAAAAAACAAAAAATTTAAATGTTATTTCTGTCCCTGAAATCAAAATGTGTATTTTGGTACCTTTGAAAAGAGTGACTATTTTGACCCGTTCATTTTCATTTTATCCCATTTGTTTTTATGACATAAGTTTAACATAACACTTTCCTTGACTAAATTTCTTGAAATACAGTCATAAATTTGTATTAAAGGATTTTTATTGTGCATAATATTTATCTAATATGGACCAATATATTGGTCATTTTAAAAAGATACATGAACAATAACAAACGTTTTGCAGATTCAAGAACTAAAATAACAAAAAGTTGAAAATATATAAACCAATCGAATGATTTGAAAGTACAAGAATCAAATTGAATTAAAGTCAAAAGTACACACAAAATATTGTTTAAAAAAATAAAAAATTTGGCAAGGAGAGAAGAAAATAAGTTTAAACTTTGGGTAGACTCCATCATCAATATAACAATCTCGTACTCTTCAAGTCTCCAATTCTTCAAGTCTTGTTGGCTTTGGATGCTTCGCTTGACTCTGAACGATTGTAGATAATTCTGAGTGCTCTGAATCTCCAATTCTTCTATCTCCCCGAATTCTTCTTCCTCTTGGCTTCTTCCCYTTTTCTTCCTTCCTTCCCCAAATGAGATGTGACCCCCTCTATTTATAGAGTCTTTGTGAGTCTTATATGTCATGGGCTTAATGGGCCATGGGCTTGGGCCCAATCTCATCATGGGTTTTGATCCAATTAATTGATTTCATCGGACGATCATAAAAGAGACACATGACACAATTTGATTTCTTGATTTAAAAATTAATTTAGGACACGTGTAAATTTGTGATTGGTCCTAGATATAATTTTAATTTTGTGACGTGGCATTTAGTGATTAGCTGAAATTTCTCCGTCAACAAATACATACGAGCAAAGTATATATTGATGTACTGTGTCATGCACTGAATAAAAATCAATTGTTGCATGGAAGACTTATTAGTGTTAACATATTTTACCTTAATTAAACTTTTATTCTAATTTCTATGTTGTTCTTAAATTTGTAAATATTTTATTTCAGTCACTCAACTTTTCAATATATATATTTTTTGTTGAGTAAAATAATCTATTTTTATCTTAAAATCTTAATTTTGGCAAATTATATTTTAGATTTAGATTAGTKGTGCTATATATTTTATTAAGATTTTTTAAGTTCAAAATCATAAAAAAAAAAGGAAAAGAAAAAAAAAACTGAAAACATTGTTACTTTAAAGAAGAGAGATGGTTCCCTAACATGTATGATTTGATGGTCATTTTCAATGCATTTATTTTAGTTATATTGGAAAAAGAATACATAATTATTTAAATAAAATGAAATGCCAAAAAGACAACAAAAAAAAAATTTCTAGATGGAAATATCCGAATGATAGAGATCCTTATATCATGACTAAGAAAGACTTAAAAGAATCGTAGTTACTACTTATACTAACAATGTACACCTTCCTTTCGGTGGCTCGATCATAGAAACTCCAAAGTTAAGCATGCTTGGCTTGGAGCAATCTTGAGTCGAGTGACCTCCTAGTGCTCGTAGGAGATGCAGGGAATGCCGGGGCTATTAGAGCCAAATCTGGATTTTGAATCCTAGGGCGTTACAAAAATAAATATAACATAAAATTTTTTAATACTTAATTTAAAAAATTAATTTTCATATAAAACTTTTACCCTTTTTAATTAAAAATTTTAGAGAAGAGTATACGAGAAATTATTATTGTTGAGTGATAATTAAATTTCGGCCAATCATGAGTCGCCACGTCCTCTTTATGATCGTTTGATACCACAAGCTAGCCTGATCAATTGGGTCATATGATAATTGAGTCTAGATCAAATAAGCTCGAAACTCATTAATTGATAATTTGGCCTCAAACTCAAATTAGC